GAGAGAGGCGGCCCTCCGCTCCCCACTCTCCGGGCGCCGCAGCCCCGCACCCCGCGCCCCGGCCGCGCCGCGTGATTCTGCCGCCCCAGCAGTCGCCCGGACCGCTGCTCGCTCCTCCCTCACCGGCCTCCACTCCCTGGGCCGGAGCCTACAGGTACGTGGGCCGCGCGCTCTCCACAGGCGCCGCCATCGTCTCGACCCCTGTGTAAAAGCACAAAGCCCTGTCCCTGGGCTATAAACCAGAAGCTCAGAGAAGGACAGCCACGCGGGGTTGTGGGCGCTGACAGACTGAAGAGTGAGGGGCCGGGGAACTTCTCGGATTGCACCCCCCAGCCTGACCTCGTCTGGGGTGCTGGAATTCAAGAGTCAGGCTGGGAGACTGCAGAGCTGGGAGACTGCGGTTGCAGACAGGCTCAACAGAGTGAGCTCAGTGCTGGGGGAACACTAAGCCAGGGCCTGGCCACCCCTTTCACAGAGCTGTTAGATGCGAAGCGGCTTTTGAAAGAACTATAGTTTAAACAATATTCTTGAAAAAAGTACAGTTTAATTTCTAACCATGTGTTGCATCTAAGGCTGTGCTTTCTTTTGGGCCTCCTTCTGTCATTATCCCAGGATCGCCTTCCTCTTGCCATTGAGTTGATTCTAATTCACAGGGACCTTGAAGAAACAGAAATGACTCGGGAGGTTTCCAAGGCTCTAGGCGTGTGTGTGTGTGTGTGTGTGTGTGTGTGTGTGTGTGTGCCGGCAAATTGGATCTGACTGGTACAGGAGGAGACTGTCCCTCCTTCTCCAGCAGAGCATCTGGTGGATTCAAACCAAGCTCCTCTGGGATTGCAGTGCAGCTTCTTGCCACTAGGCTACAAGAGCCCCCCTAGGCCCTAATATTGACAGAAGCAGCCACATCTTTCTCCCACAGAGCAGCTGGGGGTGGGGGAGGGCGAGGTTGGGGGAGGCTTTGAGCTGTCGACATTTTTATCAGCATGGCTTTTAACCACTGCATCACCTTTTTTACCCCCTGGAAATTTCCTTTAATGAATGAATGAATGAGTCTATTTCCCCAACATCCTCTTAAGACCTGACTCTGCCTGTGTGCCTGACCCAGCTTCTCTTCTGAGCTCTCTGGACCCAGCTCTTAAGCAGCTGTGGAGACTTACCACAGACATCACCACTCCCACCGAAGCTAGACCCCTGGACCTCTCTCTTCATTGGCCAGCACACATTCCAGTGTCCTTCCTGACACTAGCATGTCCCCCTCTCGGGTTCCCAGCTCTGAGTCCTGGAGCCATCATGCCCTCTCCCTCCCTTCGTTCAGATGTCATATGTAAGTAGTGTGCAGCCTCCCCTTGTCTGGTGGTTTTCTAGCTGGGAGTCTGTGCTGTTCCCACCCCAACCCCCAAGACTTGGGAAAACATCTTCAGAACTGTTTGAACTCCAGCCTTGTATTCAACAGCCCACAGCAGACAATGCAGATGCTGGGGGCACTGGGGTGTGGCCATCCAGAGCCACTAAGGCCAGCAGGATTGAAACTTCTAGCTTTCGTGCTGAGGTCCCAAAGACAACACTCTGCCTGTTTGCCTGACTCAGCTTCTCTGCTGAGCGCTCTGGACCCAGATCTTAACCACCTGTGGAGGCTTACCACAGACACCACAACCAAGCCCACTGACTCTAGAGGGTTGAACCTCTTGTTTGGCTAGTGCCCATTCCAATGAGTGAAGATGAGACCTCCCAGCATACCCAGTGTGAACGTCCTGCATGGGCATCAACCTATAGGAGTCATGATTACAAAAGTACGATTAAGAGTGATGTTGTACACAGTTTTATTCTCCATCCAAACTGTTAGCTTTTTATTTGGTGGAATTTTCTTTCAACACAGAAACTCACAAGGTACATAGATTTTCAAACCTTTTTCTGGAATAACTGTAGGAACAGTCTGTCTACAGATGTGGCAGGGCAACATGGGAAGGTATGGGTGCTGTGAACCAGGGAAAATTGCTCTGAGGCTGGGCTCAGAAGGTCTAGGAAAAAGACGCCTGGTTAGTTGTTGGGCAACCAGTGTTTGCTTCCTGAAGGAGATGACTGTCTTTTCAGGGGCTTCTTCTACTTAGGGTAGCTGTGTTTTTTTTCTTGTCTCCCTGAAGTTCAGGGTGGAAATACATTACAAAAAGGTCCTTAATCCTGAATGTAAGGACCATTCAGGGCTGGGCTTGGTGGGTATAAAGAGCTCCCCCCCCCCCCCGAGTTAGCTGATGCTAAGATATTCTGGTCCCAAGCCAGCTGAGAATGTTTGAGGTGCTGCCTGCACTGACTAGGAGTCTGTAGCATATTGGGCCTTTAGGAAAGGGGGTGTGTGTTGGGGGGGTGACTCTGATCTCCAAATGGTGTTCAAACTCAGGGCTGTCAAGTTGAAACTAACTCATAAATGGGTTTCCAAGTCTGTAAGTCGGTGGAAGGAGATTGGCCATCTTTTTCTCAAGGAGTGGCTGTTCTTGTTGGTGTGCTGTCAAGTTGGAACCGAACTATAACTGACCCTCCGCCCATTTTCAGAGGGAGTAAATATCAGGGGAGGAGATTTCCCATCCTTCTCCCACAGAGCAACTGGTAGATTTGAACCATGTACCTTTGGGATTGCAGCACAGCTTCTTATAATGAGGCTACCAGAGCAGGAGGGGAAGGCCCTCTATGAGGTGGATTGATTCAGTGACTGGGATAATTGGGATGGGAGTGTCAGAGACAGTGTGATTGGCACAGGACAGAGCAGAGTTTAGGGTTGTTGTACATAGGGTCGCTATGGGTCGCAAGCGACTCGAGGGCACATAACAACAACAACAACAACAACAACCAGAGCTCCCCTCGAGGAGGTAGATTCAAACTGCCAGAGAGTGCCTTTGGGTTAGCAGATCAACTCCTAAGGGACTAGGCCACGAGTTGTTGTTGTGTACTGCAGAATCAGAATTGACCTATAGCTTACCCTCTGGCAGGTTTTCAGAGACTGGCCATCCTTCTCCCACGAATCAGCTGGTGGCCTCGAACCCACGTACCTTCAGGATTTCAGCACACTTCTTGCTTCTAGGCCATCCGAGCTCCTTAGTGTCTAGAAGGGTCACATAATCCTGCTCTTGGTCCCACCTGCAGGCAACCCTTCCCTACTAAGAAGCTTAGCCAAGGCAAGCCTTCCCAAAACTCCAGGCTCACAAACTGCCTGCACCACTGCTGAGTGGACAACCTCTTGTCCAGACCATGCACTAATCCACTTCCCCCCTCACCTGCACTCTTTCTGGACTGGGGACGTACTGATTTCTGGCCAGTTCTGCTGCAAGCTGTGTTTGCTTGCTCTGTTTCTTCCTAATAATGCCTGAGTAACCTATTCTGTGTCCATGGTAGCAACTGCCTCACTTTCTCTGTCCTCTTCACCAGAAAAAAATTACTGAGGAGGGAGAGGAGTGGACAGAAGTCAAGGACCCCACTCCTATCAAGGTTACCCTCACATGTGTTTGTTGCAAGTCTGCTCCTTCCTTTGCTATTAAGTAACGATTGAATGCTGACCTCATGCCAGGCACAGTGCCAGGCACCGAGGGTACAGAGATGAATAGGTGTAGGGCCTGTCCTCAGGAAGCTCAGGGGTGGAACAGGAGGAGGAAATAACAAAGCAAGCCAACAATTCTGTGTGGTGTCCAGTGCTGTCAGGGGGTAAGCTCCAGCACTGTTGAAATCCTCAAAGGTCAGGAGATCTCTGAGCAGCTGAGCCCTACAGAAGGAGAAAGAGGACCAGGACAAAGAAGGGGGATGGGCCGCTCATTCCTAGACAAAAGCCAGGACAAGAATTTTTTCTGGAATCTGCCAGTAGTTCGGGAAGAGGCTGGAACAACTTTCCCACAAAGAAGTCTGGGTTTTATTGGAAGCTCCAGGCAGCTAGGGGGGAGGGGTGGGCTCAGGGAAACTAGCTTTCAACACAGTTTGCATCTAGGAAATTGATTCTGGCTTTAGTGAGAAGCAAGTTTGGATTCCAGGCAGTGATCTGCCGTTTAACAGCTGTGGACCTTGGGCAAATCATTTCCCCCTCAGGGCCTCAGTGTCCTTATTTGTAAAATGGGGATAACAATTGTAGCAACCAAGGTATTTATATAACCACTTGGACCATAACTAGCACATAGGGAATAGCAACAAAGCTGTCCTGTTCCTTGACCTGGTCTCTTGGCTCTGCAGCCTCAGAATGTTCTTGACCACTGTTTGACGGAGAAGATTCCATGGAGAAACAAGCAAAGCCTCTGGGAAAAGCTGCCTGGGGGGCCCAGCCAGGAAGAGAAAGAGCACTGTCCACGCATTATCCCTAGAACAGTTAGAGGCAGAAGCTGGGCCTTTGGGGACACTCAGTCTGCAATGAGAACTGGCTGGTTTCTCATTAGTTCTAAGCAGAGACCTACAAACTCCAGAGGGCGGTAGAATAAGGCAAGGCCCCTGCGCCCTCCATAGTAATTGCTGTTGTTGTGTAGTGCTGAGTTGGAACTGACCTATAGCTGACTCTCCAGTGGGTTTTCAGAGGCAGTTAATCCCATGGGAGAAGATCGCCAATCTTTAGGTGGATTCAAACCGTGTGCCTTTGAAATTGCAGCACAACTTCTTACCACTTGGTAAGAAGCTATCTATGTGAAACAACTGGTAGATTTGAACCACGTGCCTTTGGGTTGACAGCGCAGCTCCTTACCCCTGAGGAAGTAAAGACAGTAAAGAAGCGTTCCTTCATTCCTTTCCTCAGAACTGACCAAGGCTTTCAAGCCAAATTAATATGATAAAGTAAAATATTAACCACTGTACATAATTGATTACATTTTAGGCTATATATAAGGAAATTTAAATTAGAATAAAAAAAAATAAGCAGCTCTCTCTACCTGGTGGGGCTGCAGATCGCTCGAGCACTAATCGGCAGCTGCTCACCCACCACCCCGTTTATGTTCTTCCAGAACCCACGGAAGCAGGCGGACTCAGCGCCTGTCCCCACAGCCATGGATGCTCTGGGCCCCAGGAGCGAGAGCGCCTCCCCAGCCTCCTCCACTCAAAGCTTGGACTTGAGGCGCCTGTCGGTGCGCGCTGACTCGGCCTACAGCTCCTTCTCCGCCGCCTCGGTGGGTCCAGAGCCGCGCACGCCGTCGCCGGAGGACTCGGAACCTTACCTAGACTGGGACTACGTGCGCGTGGTGTGGGGCGGCCCGGCCCGCGCCCCTCCGGCCTCTGGCCCTCGCGCGTGCCAGCGGCCCCTGCCGCCGGCGGCCACACTCTGCAGGCCGTGCCCTCCTGAGGCTCAGGGGCCCCCGGGTCTGCTCAGCAGGCAGGCCACCCCGCTGCTGTACGCGCTGGCGGCGGAGGCCGAGGCTGCGGCACGGACAGCGGAGCCGCCCAGCCCACCAGCCTCGCGGGCCGCCTACCGCCAGCGGCTGCAGGGCGCGCAGCGGCGGGTGCTCAGGGAGACGTCCTTCCAGCGCAAGGAGTTCCGCATGAGCCTGCCCGCCCGCCTGCGCCCCGCTGCGCCCGCGCGGCCCTCCACGGCGCACCCGCGCTCAGCCTCGCTCAGTCACCCCCTGGGGGAGGCGGAACGGGCGCACTCTCGCGCTCCCACGCGGGAAACCGCCTCTCGGGGATGCCTCGCCAGCCAACAGCGTGAGTGGTGCTTGTCTGAGCCAGGAAAGCTGGATCGTATGGGTCAGGGCACTGGGCCCCCAGCAGCATGTCCCAGTGAGGCTCGTCCTGGCTCTGGTCTCATGCAGCCCAAGCCCCAGGATCTACAGCATGGGGCTGAACTCGAAGGCCGCCAGATGGGATGGCTGCCCGGGATCCAGCGCCGAGGCACAGCTGATCCTGACCGTGGATCTTTGAAGGTCCGCGAGGCTTACAAGCCTGTCATTCGGAGTCATGGCACTTCAAGCGAAGCCTTGGGCCATTGGGGAGGCCCCGATGGGGTCCTACCCTTTGTCCAGGTATGGAAGATGGGGCTGCAGATGGGAAGGGAGGAGGTGGATCATCTAGGAAACAGAAAATTCACACACCACATTATCAACTGTTGACCTTTACAGGCCATCCCTCAAGGAGCAGGATTGCCCAGGCCATTGTGTCAGACCAAAGATTCCAGGTGAGACCATTGGACCACTCTGAGGGCTAAAGTTAGAGAGGCCAGCTTTCATAGCTCCTGTCCAGAATAGAAGAGGGCCTCCCACTTGTGTTCAGTCTGAGCCTCTGACTTGTCTTTTGCAAATTATGTGCTCCTCCCCTTCACCCACCTCCCTCTTTGCATTATTGTCTCCCTGATGCAGTGCTAAGAACTTCCTTCCTGGTCAGTGTGGGGTTCCTGCTTCCAGGTTTCTGTCTCAGGAGGTGGTCGCAATGGCCTGTCCTGCAAAAGGGCCCCAGGACAGCCCTGCTGACTGTGAGCAGAAGACCTGCATCAGGTCGGCCCAGCTGCCCTCCCTGCGTGATGATGACGTTTTCCTGGAAGAAGTCCCCCTGGTTGGAATAAGAGTACATCAGGATGCTAGTGGCCCCCAGGGGCTCCTAACCAGGTGCATATCCTCCTGTTTCGAAGCTGAATGAGACACATCAGCCTTTACTCACAAAATACTGGAAGGGAAGGGAACCATCTCCTAGCCTGATCCTGAGATCAAAGATGGTGGAGGTGGGGACAGGTGGCCTATGGAAGCTACCACATGATGAGGCTGGGGCTTTTTCTAATTCAGTGTCTTCTTCCACTGACAGTGTCCATGCTTCAGATCAACACTATGGAACTTGCCTGAACCAGAGGGCTGGCCAGGCTATAAACATCCCAGAATCCCCTCTCCACGGGTACCCCGAGACTTCAGGGACAGACAACTGCTGGCAGAGGGTGAATGGTTGTGTGGGTGATTCCAGGATCACACGCTTTAACCCCTCTGGAACTGCAAATGGTGACATGCCAACCACTGACCCCCCCAGACTGCTCAGCAGTGACCCTCCTGCAGCTGCAGAAAATGACCCCCTGAAACCTCTTCCAGCTAATGCCCTGGGACCTCCAGGCAGTGACACCCCAGCATCTCCTGATCATACTGACCTGGCCTGGGGGACTGGAAAATCTAGTTCCAGACCAACATGGTCCAGTCAGCACCTCGAGGAGCTAGTGCAGGAGCTGGCCAAACTGGATCCTTCTCTGAGTGATGCTCTTGCCCCTCGTCCCAGCCCAGAGCCTCCCCTGGATGTACTGGAAGGACTGATTCCTTTAGCTGAGGTCTGGTCTGCAATGGGGACAGCCTGTGGAGAAGCTGGAAAGGGACCTACTGAGCCAGGGTAAGTGACAGGCACCAGGAAAGCGGGACTGATTCTAAGCCTGAACCCTGGGGCAGACAAGCCAGGTAGCTCTGCTTTGTCTCTATCTAGGTCCTGTCTGCTCAGCTCTGCCCAGCTCCCATTGATTTCTCAGAAGGAGGCAAAGCCTGAAATCTCTATCATACACCCTATACCTGACCAGCTGTGTGATCAGGAGCTGCCTGAACCAACCAACAGCATCCAGGCCAAGAAAGTAAGTGCTAAAGGGCTGGTGGAGCTCAACTGGAACAAAACCCTGAGTCTGGCCCAGTCTGACCCTAGATCAGGGCCTGGCCACAGCCCTGAATACCCACCCAAACTCTCTCCACCTAGGTGGAACTTGCTGACCTCCTCCAAAAAATGCTGCAGGACCTTCAGGCAGAACAGGAGCGGCTGAGGGCTGAGGCTCAGACTTGTGCTAGGCACAAGGTGGCTCTAGAGTCTGTGATGGATCGGGCCTGCACACCCCAGGAAGTGGAGCGCTTCAGCAGGTTCATGGCTGACCTGGAACGAGTGATGGGCCTTCTGCTACTGCTGGGCAGCCGCCTGGTCCGCGTGCGTTGTGCCCTGAGCCGAGCATGCATAAACGGGGACCCTGATGAGCAGGTAAAATGGGGTTCAGGCCGGGGCCTGAATGCCCTGTAGGAAATATTCCACTTACAGTGCCCTCTCCCCACGGTTCCAGGCCTCTCTGCTGCAGAGACTCAGGCTCCTGCAGCAGCAGCAGGAAGATGCCAAGGAACTGAAGGAGCACGTGGCCCGGCGGGAGCGAGCCCTGCGCGAGGTGCTGGTGCAGAGGTTGTCCGCTAAAGAGCTCCACTCCTACCGCAGCCTGTTGGCTGCAAAGGCCGCTGTCTTGGCCCAGCAGCGCAGCCTGGATGAGCGGGTCCGCCTCCTCCAGGATCAGCTGGATGCCATCAGGAGTGACCTCGGCCCTTGCTTCCTGCCTTCCAGGCCAGCCTGGCCTCCAGGGACTTGAACTCCCTTCACTTAGCTGTTGGTGGTCAGAGTGGTGAGCACTGTGCTTCAGAGTCTCACCCACCTAACTGGCAGATGCTGGTTTATTTGGTGCTTTTCTCTGAGAGCTTCAGAATATCAGGGTATGCAGTCTTTTGCTGTCCCCAGGATACTCCACCCAAATATTCTTAATGCGGCCTTATGCAAGTCTATATATTTGGCGATTAATTTATGGATCTTAAAAACTGCAGAATCCCACTTTTTTGTGAGGAGAGGAGAGCTCTTTCACTGTTGTTGAACAGAAAATCACTTCAACTTAAGATGCAAAATGGCATATATACTTCCCACCCCCCAAATAAAAATTGTTTAAGTCTATTGTGTCACCTGGAGCATAAAGGGATGGGAGGGGGTCCATGTTTACAAAGTAAAGACTTCAACCCTGAGTGACTGGAAAAGTAAAAGATTTCCGACATAAGGACTGAGAATCTCTGCAAAGACTGGAGAACCAGGCTTGAGAAAACAGGAGGATCCAAGGTGATGACAAGCCCTCAACGCTGTTGCCTGATGAACCCCATGTGTTCTGGTGACTGCACCACTCCTGCAAAGACTAGATAGAACTGATGGGTCAGCAGGTTCCTACTAAAGTTGCTAGCTTCAGTTGTGGAAGTTGGGGTACTGCTGTGCTCCAACACTCAAGGGACAGGGAATTTTCACAGTTTAAAAACTAATCCAGATGCTTGCTTCCTAAAACACCCAGCATATATCCAATATACCAAGAATCTGGGAACATTCATTCCAACACCTGGGAAAAAATACTTTTTCCCTGATATGTAAAGAAAACAAAAATTCTTACCACTGGACCAATAGGCATCATCATGATAAATAGAGAAAAGATTGAAGTTGCCAAGTGTTTTATCTCACTTGGATCCACAATCAACCTTCTTGGTACCAGCAATTTGGAGATCAGGAGCTGTACTTCTCTGGGAAAGCCTGCAGTCAAGGACCTCTCCAAATTATTGAGGAGCAAGGATGTCAGCTTGAGGACTAAGAGGTGCCTGATTCAGGCCATCACCTTTTCAATCACATGCTATGCATCAGACAGCTGGACAATAAGGATGACAGAATTAGTGCCTTTGAACTGTGGTGTTGATGAAGAGTACTGAATATCCCATGGACGGCCAAAAGAACAGTTATGTCTTGGAGAAAGTGCAGCCAGAGTGCTCCTTGGAAGCAAGAATGATAAAGGTTACATAATTCAGGCATGTTGCTAGGAGAAGCTATTCCTTGGAGAAGGACATCATGCTTGGGAAGAAGGAAGGTTAGCAAAAAAGAGGAAGACCTTCAGTGAGATGGAATGACAGTGACTGCAGCAGTGGGCTCGTGTATGTCAGAGATTGTGAGAATGACACAAGATAGGACAGAATTCAGATCTGTTGTTCATGGGGTCGCTATGATTTGTACTCAGTGTACAACATGTAACAGCAACAACTTGCTAATTGTATTCTCAAACCCGAGTTTATTTACCTTTCCTTTGGAGAAACCACTGGGTCACCCAGACTTGAGGACAGCTAGAGGTGAGAGCAGGAAGCAAGGGCCCTGGGAACCTGTAGAAGCAACTTGTCCTGTGTGTCAGAAGCTAATGTAGTGGGAGCTGGGGTTGATAGGAAGTTACAGGTTGGAAGGGTGCAAAAATGAGGGTACACAATACTCTCCCTGTGTACACAGAACTAGTGTTGGGTTCTAAGATGTTGTTGGTTTCTGTCATGTTGATTCCAACTCATGGTGATCCCAGTTGTGTTACAGAGTACAGCTGTGCTCTGCAGGGTTTTCAAGGCTGTGACCTTTCAACAGCAAACAGATCTAGCACTCTAGGTGCGTCTGAGTGGGCTCAGACCATATAGCCTTTCTACTGTAGTCAAACACATTTGTAGTACCCAGGGACTCCTGGTTCTAAAATACTCACGTGTAATATTGTAGATGTGGAAAAACCAGGGGCAAAAACATTGTTAATGCAATCGTTTAGTTTATTTTGGAACTTGGGCACATTAAGGGTTGTGTATTTGTGTTCAAAGCCAAATGACCCCAGAGTGAGAAATTTCTGCTGCTGGGCTTGTTTTCTGATGCTTATTGTCACTAAATGCAACTGGTTGGGGATTTTAAATGGTCCTATTCAAACCAAAAGCATTACTTATAACAGTTGAGCTATTGAGCACAGAACAATGCTCACATTGTGCCATTTTATAAAAAACATATGGGGCTCCTGCTGAGGCCACTGCGGATTCTAACATTATGCTTTGCTTCTCCCCTTTGAACACTGTAGGCAGAGCCTGCCTTCAAGATCCTGGGCCTAGGGGGCAGCTCACACTAATAGATGGCTTCTGAATGGAATCTACTTATTTCTGCCTTTTGCCCCATGCAGTTTCCATCGCACTTTCCTATTGCTGTATTCTTAGAAACACACATACTGTTGTCCTTTGTGCCAGTGGAAATGATTTGTGTCAGATAAGGCCCTCCAGCTGAGAGGCAGAGTTTGCCATTATTCTGCTAATCTGCACTTTGGTTCTGTTCTGGGTTTTTCCAAGGAGAAATAAAAAGCTTCTGAGCTTGTCCCTGCCAGATCCTGCGAGCCCCCTAGAGCAGGGCCACGCCTCCTAAGCCCAATCTTGCCTTTTCTCCATCTTGCCTCTGTCTCTCTGCCTTGGCGGGCTTTCTTTCCTTACCATTGTACTCTTAGCCTGCTGGTGGCTCAGTGATTAAGAGCTCTACTTCTAGAAAAAGATCAGAGGTTTGAATCCATTAGCTGCTCTGCAGAAGAAAAGATCTGTATAAGAGGCACTTGTTTTCTGTCCTATAGAATTACTTTCTATGAGACAGAATAGACAGCCCACAACGGCCGTAGCGATTAGTGCTGTGAATGGGTGGTGTGGTGCTGGACTCTTAAGAACACACTGCTCGGGCGCGGATTGGTTTCCTGGGACTGTGGCTTGCAAGGTCCGCCATGGAGCCAGAGCAGATGCTGGAAGGGCAGACGCAGGTTGCAGAAAATCCTCACTCTGAGTACGGTCTCACAGACAACGTCGAGAGAATAGTAGAAAATGAGAAGATTAATGCTGAAAAGTCATCAAAACAGAAGGTGGATCTCCAGTCACTGCCAACCCGTGCCTACCTGGATCAGACAGTTGTGCCTATTTTATTACAGGGACTTGCTGTTCTGGCAAAGGAGAGACCACCAAACCCCATTGAATTTCTAGCATCATACCTTTAAAAAAACAAGGCACAGTTTGAAGATCGAAACTGACTTATTGGGAAGAACAGAAAAATTGGTTGCTACTCTAGATTTACGTAATTAAGAGGCAGCTTACTTGCCATGATTGCCCCTGTCCCCCCCTTTTGGAAATATAAAAACCTTCAGGACCATACAACTTCATTCTGGAGTTGCAGAAGAGAACATATTTTCCCTTATTTTGAGTTAATCACAATACTTATTTAATGAGCGTATTCTGTGCAATTTTTTTCTTCAGATTGTCTTTAACTTTGTTTTTAAAAGACCTTCAAAATAAATAGTTGAAATGTCATTATTTAAAAAAAAAAAAAAAAAAAAGACGTTTGGGAACTCAGAAGTTTTGAAAAGCCTATCTTCTAAGTATGGCCAGCAGAGGGCACCATCTCCCTATGGTGAAAGCGTCTCCCTGTTTCTTCTCATCCTTGCCATTCCCGCTAGTCCTTGAAGAAGCTAAAGAGACTGTCTTAGCCTGCTGAGCTGGACCCGAATTGGGTCTGAAGGCTGGAACTGAATTCTTTGCTTTAGTTAGAAGCGGCAGAAGACTGACTGGCTTTCCTTTGTTTCTAAGCCTTTGGTTGAAAAAGTTATTGGTTAACATGAGAAGGGGAGGTGGAAGAGAGGCAGAGGTGGAGTGATGGTGGTGGTGGTTAGGGACTGATCTCGTGCACTCCCGTCCAAGAAAATGCTTTGCTTAGTCTCTCAGCGTGAAGAGAGGGTTTGGATCTGCTTCCACCTCCCAGCCGCCCTCGTCCCGCTGCCTCCCGCCCCCGGACTCTGACTGTCCGCCGAGAGGGCCTGCAGGGGGCGGGCTGGGGCTCGAGCCGTTGCTGGGCAACAGGCAGCCCCTGCGGCCGCCTCCTCGCCCGCCTCAGCCCGCCCCCGCCGCTCCTCTAATACGGATTTAATTAGTGTACTTTTACCTCCAGACTGTAAATTGGAAATGAAATAAGGAAACCGTGTTCTGCGGGGCCGCAAACGCACGCGCAATCTGTCTTGAACAGCCTGCTCGGCACAAAACGTACCCCGCGAGCTCTGCGCGTAAACCTCAGGGCGCCTGGTGGGAACAAATTGCTGTGCTGTTGATTCACATGTAAATCAGTTGCTTAGAGAAGAGGACGTTTAGGTCAAAAGTGGTGGAGAAGCGCAGGAAGGAGGAGGACTGAAAAAAGGATTTGAGGGTCTGGGGTCGGGGAGAAGGGGCCAGGGTAGGGTAGTTCTCTCATTGTGTTCCAGTCGCTGCTTGGGTACAGTTTGGTCCCAAGAGGTGTTTTGCTGTTGTCTTTGAAATTTAAATCCGCACCCACCGTCCTCTAGGAGGAGTCTCCCCTCCGCGCCCCTGGCCCCGGGGGAAGAGGTCAGGAACAAGAGCTCTGTCTCTGCGTTTTCTCCCCTTCCCTGCAGGCACACCTGAGGTCACTCCTTGTGCCCCAGATTCAAGCCCAGTGGTGTGTCTGGGAGTTAAGGAAGAGTAGGACACTGGCAGAAAAGTTCAAGACAATAAAGCTACCTGGAGAGCACCAGAAAATCTATTTACGAAGGCTTTTTTTTATTTTTAATTTTTTTTTGCGTGTGTGTACCGTCAAATCAGATCTGACTGGTACAGGAGGAGATTGTCCCTCCTTCTCCAGCAGAGCATCTGGTGGATTCGAACCAGGCACATCTGGGATTGCAGTGCAGCTTCTTGCCACTAGGCCACCAGAGCTCCCTATGAAGCCATTTTTAAATGGTCAAATAATTTC